ACCTGAGGCGAAGCATGGGCGCCAAATGGCGAGGCATAATTTGCCACTGCGAGAACCGAAAAAAAAAAAACATGATAGATAATCACCAACATATATATTTTTTTTTTTACTGATAGATAATCTATAAGTTTAATTCACCATCAACAAGGAAATCGGACTCATTTTCTAGTTTCTCTTACTTATGTGTGACGACAAGTAGCCAAATCTATGCGTGTCACCATGGTAATGCGTGTCTCAAGCGTTTGGATGCTGTCTCTGCGCAACTGAGCCATGTTGCTACCGATGCCATTGGCAACATCCACAGGAATGGAGATACCCTCAATGACCTCCTGGTAGCAAGGGGTTTTCAGGTTCCAAATTTTGAGCACCACTCCCTTCCCAAACTGAAATGCCACAGGTCTACCTATGATATCTATTCTGCCCTACTGCGTATCTATGATATGTCTATTAGATTATCTCCATAATATCTCTTCTTTTCTCAGTTTAAGTCACTCATATGATCCCTATCTGAAGGACAAAAAAAGTGATCATGCTGTAACACCAAGCATCAACGAGGATGCTAACTGAAACCAAATCCTACCCTCGAGTAAACCAACATAGCTATTGAAAATGGCCAAGAATTGCGATTTCCATAGCTATGTTAGTTTTAACAGATGGCAATCTGTCCCACGGACTTTGCGAAGTGTCCAACTTCAAGACCTTGATGTTCCGAACCCATAGAGGTCTGTCCAAACATGATGACTACATATATATAATATAGTATATCGTATTTCATATATCATATACTATATATCATGTATCATATATCATATGTTATATATTATATATTTAAATATATATATCATATATCAAATATTAAATATTATATATTAACAATCATATATCATTAATCATATATTATATATGATATATTATATGTTATATATCAAATATTATATATATATTATTATATATCTTATATATTATATGTTATACATTATATATTATACATTATATATTATATATTATAAATCATATACTATATATTATATATCAGATACCATATATTATTATTATTATATATTAATATATATATCATATATTGTGTATTATATCAAAAATTAAATATCATATATCATATATAATATGTTAAATATTTTATATCATATATTATATACTATATATTATATATCGTATACTATATATCATATCATGTATTAAATATTATATATTATACATCATATATGTTATATTATATTATATATATATATTATATTTTATATATCATATATTATATTATATATATCATATATTATATATTATGTATTTTCTATTTTGTATGATATATTATATATCATATATTTTATTTCACATATCATATATTATATATTATATAATGTATTATGTATTTTATATTATATATCCTATATTTTATTTCATATATTATATATAATATATTATATATCATTTATTATATTTTTTTACATTATATATGATATATCATTTATGTTATATTTTACATTTTTTGTATATTATATATATCATGTATTTTATTTTATATATCATATATTATATATTATGTATTATGTATTATTGTATTATATATTATCTGACATATAGTATCTATTATATGTTATGTATTTTATATTATCTATTCTATATTATATATTTTATATTACATATTATATTTTGCATATTATATATTACATATTATATCTTACATATTACATATCATATATTATATATTATATATAATATATATTACATATTTTATACAATATATTATATTATATATATCATCTATTATTTATATATTATGTTTTATATATCATATATTGTATTTAACATATTATATATTATATATTAGATATTATATATTATATTATATGTTATATATCAAAAATTATATATCATATATCATACATTATATATCATATACTATATAGTATATAGTATATATTACATAGTATATATTATATAGTATATATTATATATTATATATATTATATTATATTATATATTACATATTATATCTTTTATATATTATATATCGTATATATTTATTTGTATATATATATACCAGGTAGATTTTGAGGCACACAAAAACAATCACCACCGTGCGGCAGCCATCAGAGGCCAGCAGCATGTCCTGCACATAGGACGCCAAGGTCTTGAAACTCTTGGAGTTCTGGAGCTGCCTCAGGACCTAAGGCGCTGGCTTGAAAGTTGGGTAAAGGGAAACTGATTGAAACTTTCACAACTAAAGGAACTAGGACCTAACCAACTAGGACTCAAGTAGGAAAATTGTTCAAAGAAAAATCTTGGAAATAGCTCTACCCTCTGGTAAACCAACATAACTATGGAAAATCACCATTTTTAATGGATAAATCCACTATAAATGGCCATTTTCAACTCCTTCACCTGAAATTCCTTTGAGCTCCAGGCGGGCAGAGAGACCATGACGTAGGACATCAGCTGATTGGAGTAGATGGTGCTTTCATAGCTCTCCTCTCCCGCAAAAATCACACCTGACCGGGGGAATGTTTGCATCTTGCGCACCGCTAGAAAGTCGAACATCGGCCAAATTTGCGCACCAAACTCGGAGAAATCAAAGAAATAACGATGAGTATCGAACAGTCTGGAACATGAATACAGCAGTATCTGGTGGTTTTAACCATCTTGAAAATTATGAAAGTCAATGGGAAGGATTATCCCATATATATTATGGGAAAATAAAAAATGTTTGAAACCACCAACCAGAAAGTGATGAAGAAATGTGAAGCCATCACGATTTTTCAATGTTTCGATCGCCTGATGCTGAGATTGCAAAGACCAGCGTCTGCTCAAGGATGTAAATCGTCCACTCCGCGACTTTCCGAACTGTCGACGTCGCACATCTGGAGCAGGTCTCAGCGCGTGTCACGGTGGTAGAGCCAATGTGGCTACCAGGGTTCAGCAAACGAGACCCGGCTACCTATCTGTCCTTGCCGTCCTTGAGGTGCCGAGAATCCACCCGATGTTTATCATTGGTTCAAGTGCCCTATCATTTGGTGCAGCATTGGGTGAGACAAGCACCATTTTCAGACACACTCTTAGATGCAGATGCCGCTCGACGCTCATCCCAGCATCATTTCCCAAAGCTAGAAAACGTTCCATCTGGCCATGCGTTGAATTAGCAAACCTGGCAATCGAATCTATGGAAAATCCATGAAAATCCTTTGTATCTTAGAGACACTAAGAAAATCCATGTTTTTCCCCATGAAAACATGGAATTTTCGCCACCGCCAGACCCTCCTTGCCAAGGGGCAAAAGGGTCACCAGAGCCACGTCCGTGGGTCTGAGCACAATTCACACAGCCAGGGCCTCTCGGTCACGTCAGTTTCGGAGCAAAGCATTTTTTTCAATGGAGATACCATGGGAAATGTCACTCAGAGAATCTGATATATGGAGCTTTGTCCGTTTTGTCGTGAAAAAAACATCAAATCATGCAGCCATGGATGACCATGACATCCATGACTTAGTATTGAGACCGTGGGGGATCCTCTCAGTTTTTTGTTTGTCTCAAAATGCGGGATATAGTCAACAATGCAAATGATTGCATCAAAAGAATGAAGCACCTAACAATGGGGTGGAATGGGATTACCAATTTTGAGACAGCTCAAAATTAACGTCACTTCGTTCCAAGTTTGTTTCCTTGACTCCTACTCCGCAAGGACCCTTCCGAGAACTCCCAAATCATCAAGTCCGTTGGTCAGCAAATTCTGCAACTGCTTTCGTTCGAGTTCTTAAGCCTCTGCTTCAGCCTCTATTGCAAATCATTGTTTTTGACAAGGTGAGCTCATGAGAGAAAGCGAAGGGGATCTTGCACTAAGTTTGGGGCAGTCGGGACTTGGGGCAAATCTTAGCACAGCAGCATCAGCATGCCTTGATAGCCTATCTCACACATCGTGCCGAAGCCACTTCTCGTGATCCGTCCACCAGGACATGCCATCCTTGGAAATTACTGGAAATTCCTGCCCCGTTGGAAACGACTGGAAACGACTCGAGTTGCGCCTCACCTGGTCGTCTGGAGTGCTGAAAGAGTCAAAAATTCACAATATGTCATATAGGTCATTCTCCACTATTGTTGCTTGTAGTCCAGCATGTTTCTTGCTTCAAAGAAATCGAGTGCCAAGTTTGTTGTGTCCATTTCTGTCCATATTTTTTCATGGGGCACTTCCTCTTGCTGCAATAGACCAACAGTGGGCCACTATCTGTTTTACCCATTCAAAATCCCAAGGTGTGTTTGTCTGAAAACAAGCGATATCCCAAGAATTCCAGACGTACAAAACCATTTTTTTGTTCCCGTGATCTAATGGCCAGGATCAACAGTGGTTTTTCTAGAGTCTGGGCAGCTTGCGGCCAAGCTCTATCGTATCAACTTGTTGGAAATGCAAATTGCCGGAAGTTACTGAAATGTGTGAAAATGTTGCATTCCTGCAATCTGCCGATTCAAACTAGCTATCCCAATCTGCAGCCCTGTTACCTCGAACTATACGGGTGCTGTTCATCATCCCGGGGATGGGAGGTTCTGGCATGATATCCCCATGTTCCCATGTTTCATGGCTGTAGCAACCCAACAAAATAGAAGTAAAATCCTACTCAAATCCATGGAAGTCACTACAGTGTCTATAACCTGACTGTATTTTTTCTGTTTCTCACCTTTTCGATCACCAAAATCCCCAAGTCTTCGTTTTCGACCTGGAAATTCACTCCCCAAACAGCTTCCAAACAGTGTTCATTACCACATAACTTCAGTAGATCTTTCCCAACGTCTATATTTTTGGGAATATAGGGGTTTTCCTAAGTCATGGATCCCCAAACCCTGGCTTTTCATCGGAAAATGATCATCCATGACTTGGATGATTTGGGATACTCCCATTGCACCAGAGCGTCTCGTTGGGACAATGCAAGCTGAGCGAAATGTTGGAGTCTTGCACCATGTAGCCGCGCCTCACCATGATAGGACGGGAAAAGTGGTAAACCTGGAAATTTGAGTTGAGTATCATCTATAAGTTTCTGGAAACACTTTTCGGAATCTCTTTGGGGATGGATACATATATATATATACATACATAGCAAAATAAAATGAGACATAATCCATCCGAAAAAGTCATGAACGTAAAAAATGGAGGTTTAATGATTGAGTTTACCAAAAATCAACTGAGCTCCATCCCATCCCTGTCCCTGGTAACGTATCGGGTTTTTCAATGTCGGTGATGTGTCAGAGAAGGGGTACCAATTTTCACTCAGGAAATTAGGCAAATGTTCTGGAGATCTCCATGCTATTGTTACTATTGTTCTATCTTTTGTGCGGTCACTCTACTATTTTACATCTATACAATCTACCCTCTGGTAAACTAACATAGCTATTGAATATCACTATTTTTCATGGGTAAATCCACTATTTCGATGGCCATTTTCAATAGTTTTCTGTATGTTTTTCAGAGGGTATACCCCAATCAATCTCCCCAAGAGTTTTGCTGCTTCAAACCTGTTTTTTGCTGGTGAAATCCCCAAGACACCGCGGCCCTGACCTGGCCTGAGGCGAACCTTCTCTGCGGTCGCCTCCCTGGTTTGCTGCGGTACCTTCCAGCAGATGTTGGAAAAAAGTGTGTTTTTTCTTTCATGGAATGGGGATTACTCAATGGGGATATAATATTGGTAATATGAGGACATATCATGGGATATATTGTACATATACATATGTAGACATACTAGAGGTGTCCGTTTTGTCATGGGAGTACCCCCAAATCATCCGATAACCATGACTGAATACTGAAACAACCAGGGTGACTTGGGGATTCCCCATTTTTAGAACCCCCCAAATAATTAGGATATTTCCTTCATTGAAGATTGTTTTGTTCATTTTTTTTTCATCCCTTCAAACAGATCAAAACTCTTGATGAAAACTCTATTCCCCCGGTCCCGGGTGTTTCATCACCAATAAAAAACGGTTTTTTTGACGCCTTTTAACCATCCACCAGTTGGATTTTCGGATTAAATCCGTGGGAAATGGTGAGACTTCAGCAACAATAGCCTGGCCTTCACGCAAAGATGGCCATCAATGGTACCATTGACAATTTTTGGTCCTCCTTGCAGCTGAAAATAACCATTCCTGCAGCTGGTAGATGTGTTTTCACCAGGGGGGAAATGGCTAGGTGAAGATGTAAAATTCACCCATTCTCCCCACTTCTGGCTATAATTCACCTGCAATTCGTTGGAGCAACCCTTTTCTGAAATGGTGATGTTCAAGAGCGTTACCGCTCAATTGCTGTTGTCCCGATTCACCCTCTGTGGTTGGCTGATGTTCCAATTGAAATTCAGTGAGAGTGTCTAAAAATGGAGGACTTGCCCGCAATATAAATATGTCCATCTGAATAGGAAAATGATGATGAACCATTGTGCTTTCAGGTTTTCCCCCAGAAAACAGACAAACCCCTTTTTGGAATTTTGCGCGACAAGCAAGGCTCGCACATCGACGACAGTTCGTGCCATACTCATCCACATATCCTCACAGGGGTTCATTTCGAAAAACATCATGAGTGCACAAGCCAACGGGGATAAAAATAATGGTTTTGTCTGACGGCTGTCAACAAAAATGTCCAACTTGCCCGTGGTCGCCTTCGAAACCATTGTCGCACTCCAACGCTTCAACATGCCTGACTATCATCAGGATGAACTACACAAACAAGACTGAGCACAGACTGGAAGGGATAGAGAGACCTGCTCCCAAAAGTCAGTCGAAGGTTCTCACAGCATCTGGAGAAAAAAATGTAATGTTAATGTTCTCAAAGGAAGAAAAATGTTTGCAAAAGTTCTTTGCCACACTAAATCTAGAAAATGGCTCGCCCCCTAGTAAACTACCCAATGTTATTCATGGAAAGAAGAGCGTATCAGCATATCATTCAGGAGGTTTTCGTAAGTCATGGGGGGTACTCCCAAATCCTAATAGTATTTTCCATGAACTCAACCATCCAGCGAGCTTGGCGTACCCCCATGACTTAGGACTTTCATGGGTGCTCCGCGATCCACCCCCAGTGACCTCGCCACTCCTAGAAGAGCTGCCTCGCTGCCTGTTGAATGGGATGAACTTCATGAGGTCAATAGCTGGATGGAAAATCCATCTAGAAATGGATGATTTTTTGGTACCCCCCATGACCTAGGAAAGCAAAATTTCGGATTTTGGGGAATCCCATCCAATAGGTACAGTTCATATTTTTTATACCCCCCATGATGGTCCCAAATAGGTGTACATCCGCTACTCAACCATGCTTTCCGGGGATGTTAGGCCCGGTAATTCAGCGACCTGAAAAAGGTGAGGTCGCGACTCGCGACGTGAGGTTGTTACAGTACAATTTACCGAGACTGTGGTAAACGCAATGTGATAAACATTGATAAACCATGATAAACCCCAATTGGGGATGGTAAAAATGGCATTGGCTGTCCCACAAAAAAACCTAGGCTTTACGGACAATGCCAAATTGGCCAACCAAATGACAAGAGTAATTCTGCCACCAGCTTTCTTCAGCACAGCACCGCGCACAAAAAAAACATGACTTCTCAGTCCCTAGGCTTTGCAGGCTTGGTCTGAAGATACCCCCAAGAATTTCCTGCCAGGACCAATACACTCAGCAATATTCGTACGTAAAATTTGAAGTTTTTCTATGCTTCATCTTCTATCTGTGCCATCAAAAGATGGGAGTCATTCCCATGCCGGGCGATTCGGTCATCCGGTCATCCCATTGGGAATCCCAACATCCTGGTGACACATCCACTGCGCGCCTTCAACAACAACTCGCTGGGTCACGATGTGCGCAGCCGCCACTTGGGGTGATGAACAGTTTTGGAATGTGGCGTTCTTCATCCACAACTCTCGACTGGCAGTCAACACCTTGGGACAATTTCCAGCCTTCAAGAGCTGTCGAATGACAAGATTGTCAACGCTTGTCAAGCCCAGTGCAAACCAAAGGTGCTGAACCTTTCGGTGTTGAGCAATTTCTGGCTTCAAACGAATGCATGAAGTGCGCACTCTTTGCAATCAGAGCAGCTCCTGATACAGTGACTGGATGCTCAGAACTTGCTTTCACACATGCCTAGGCACTCAACAGAGCACTGATGGTGTAGGCACTCACCAAATTCAGCAGCTAGTGCAAACAGACTGTCAATTTGTCCAGCAAAAAGTTACCAATGTCAGACGCAGCACTTCACTGGACTGATTTCGGACTGATTCCCGTGCAAATCGACGGCAATAAGATGCAAATCCGAACACTGCCATCTAATAGCTATGGTCTCAGGAGAACTGGAACGCAAAGGTTGGCTTAGCAGTCACAATAGCTTTGGTCAAAGCCATTTTGCAGTTGTCCTCCTTGAATGCTGGATGCAGAGCAATTTGAAAACATGACCTGCGATTTTCGGCGCAGAAACTCAAAGTCCAAACTTCGTAGAACTGCGACTGATCATGCGACTGATCCATCTGACAAAGACCCAAACAAGAATTGATAATTGATATGTATCTAATATATCATAGACATACTCTCATGACTACCTATCTGAATCTCATATACTATCATACATTATCATCTTTTGTTACATTAGCTAATTGTATTATCACATACGAAAAAGAAAAGTGTAGCAGTTGCTCTCCAGTGCCTGTCCGAGCTTCAGTGTCCCTGGCGCTTTCGGCGGAACTTTGAGTTCCATTCAGAACTGAGGGCAACAAAAATGGCTCATCCATATGGATTGATATATAGTTTTAAAAAAACGCCCATCAAAATGGTATTTAAAAAAAACATGTTTTGGATGGTGGATTCTATTTTCTAACTCAAATTGAGCATTTTAGGGGAAAAAAGTGTCTTCAAAAAAGGTTCCTTTCCCACCTAATAATTTCAGGGTCTATGTTCCTTCGGTGGATGGTCCATTCCTTCCAAAGCACCAGCCTCCGGAACTGATTGCGCCGCCAATCTGTGCTCTGCAGTTCTCGAAGGTGGTGTTGCCAAGAAGCATCGAGACTCTTGCAACTGGGTTCAGCGGCAAAATGCCAAGGCTTCAATGTCAGCATTCCAAGTTCACTGGATCTTGTTTCATTATTTCATCATGAAACCAGTTGGGTTTCAAAGGCAAAAAAACGGCTATGTCGCAAAAAATCATTCAACGCCTTTGGGATGAACCAATTTTCAGCAAGTATCCCGTTACACCACACCGCAATGGGAACCCGGTCCGAGCCATAATTGTTGAGTTGTTACTGTGTTTCAGCTGAAATGTTCGTTGAATTGTGTAATGTGCTGGTGAATGGACATGTTGAAAATACTTGAAGATACCGTCACGGAACATTTTTCGTTCAATCATTAGTCATCGCCAAAACAATGTGTTTGCTGCCCTGCAAGATGCATATTTAACATCCCAAAGTCATAGACTTTCGATTCTGCAGTTCTTGACACCCCGCCCTTACCCCCTAAACACTTCAAGTAAACAACCACAATATATTCACTAAAACCGATAACCCTCCAATGTTTGAGCATGTTCAGCGATTGCTTGCTCCCACGAGAAACAAAAATGTTGGATTTAGGTGATTTAATTTGTTGCGTGTTGGTGATTCTTTTGCGCTTGAGACGCATGAAACACATGGTTAATACTGTAGATACAAAATAAACTTCGGTGGTGTCCCCAACAGCCGCAACGTTTTATTTTTACAAATCTTTCTGAAGCGTGCTGCGAAGCTACGCACTGGAAACACCTCAGCTGGGTTTCCGTCAATTAAATGAACCTGACCTGGTTTGGCTTCCGCAACCTCCTCCGGAACCCGTTGAACTTGACTTGGCTTTGCACCACGGCTTCCTGGAACACCTTCTCCGGAACCTTCTCCGGAACCTTCTCCGGAACCTTGTTGAACCTGACCAGACCTTCTCCGGAACCCTGTTGAACCTAACCTGGCTCTGCACCAAAGCCTCCCAGACCTTCTCCGGAACCTTCTCCGGAACCTTCTCCGGAACCCTGTTGAACTTGCTGGCTCTGCACCAAAGCCTCCCGGACCTTCTCCGGGAACCTTCTCCAAGAACCTTCTCCGGTGGTCTCGCAGGATGGCTATCGCCAGCATTGCATTTGCACGGCCACCACATAGGAAAGATGGGCTGAGGTCCAAGCCTCCCTGTTCTGTTGAACCTGACCTGGCTGCACCAAAGCCTCCCAGACCTTCTCCTGTTGAACCTGACCTGGCTCTGCACCAAAGCTGGAACCCTGCACCAAAGCCTCCCAAACAAAGTCCGGAACCTTCTCCGGAACCCTCTTGAACCTGACCTGGCTCTGCACCAAAACCTCCCTGAACCTGACCTGGCTCTGCACCAAAGCCTCCCAGACCTTCTTCGGAATCTTCTCCACATGATCTGGCTCTGCAGCGAAGCCTCCCTCTGCAGAACCCCCCCTCCCAGACCTTCTCGGGACCCTGTTGAGCCTGACCTGGCTCTGCACCAAAGCTTCCCAGACCTTCTCCGGAACCATCTCCGTCCGGAACCTTCTCCGGAACCCTGTTGAACCTGACCCGGGGCCTGCACCAGTGCACACTGGAGCATTTCTGGGCTGAAGACCCCATTTGCTTACGCTGTTGGGGAAATAAGCTTCGGTGGTATCCCCAACAGCCGCAACGTTTTATTTTACAAATCTTTCTGAAGCGTGCTGCAAAGCGAAGCGCTGGAAACCCTTTTGAACCTGTTGAACCTGACTTGGCTCAGCACCAATTTAAGGCTTCCTGGAAAATTCTCCGGAACCTTCTCCGGAACCCTGTTGAACCTGACCTGGCTCTGCACCAAAGCCTCCCAGACCTTCTCCGAAACCTTCTCCGGAACCCTGTTGAACCTGACCTGGCTCTGCACCACAGCCTTCCAAGCCTTTTCCGGAACCTCCTCCGGAACCTGTACTTGGCCTTGCACCAAAGCTTCCTGGACCCTGTTGAAGCTCTGGAACCTTCTCCGGAACCCTGTTCAACCTTGACCCGGCTTTGCACCAAAGCCTCCCAGACCTTCTCCAGAACCTTGCTTGCTCTGCACCATGCAAAGCCTCCCAGACCTTCTTCTCCGGACCCTGTTGAACCTGACCTGGCTCTGCACGAAAGCCTCCCAGACCTTCACCGGAACCTTCTCCGGAATCCTGTTGAACCTGACCTGGCTCTGCACCAAAGTCTCCAAAGCCTTCTCCAGAACTCTCTCTGGAACCTTCTCCGGTCCCTGTTGAGCCTGGCTTGGCTTTGCATCAAGGCTTCCTGGGACCTTCTCCAGAACCTTCTCCAGAACCTTCTCCGGAACCTTGTCCGGAACCCTGTTGAACTTGACCCGGCTCTGCACCAAAGCCTCCCCCTCCGGAACTTTTTCCGGAAGCCTGTTGAACCTGACCTGGCTCTGCACAAAGCCTCGAACCTCCGGAACCTTCTCCGGAACCTCGTTGAACCTGACCCGGCGCCTGCACCAGTGCACGACGGAGCTATTCTGGGCTGAAGACCCCATTAGCTCACGCTGTTGGGGAAAAACCGGCAATTGATTTTTGTTTGGATATAGAAAACACCGTAAACACTGTAAACACCAATGAGTTTTGTGGCGATTTTTCTATGGCCACTGTGCATTCCATGGTTGTTTTCTGCTCTTCCAAGGGGCTGCTCTTCTTCAACGGTACTCCGAACTTTCGAACTGCTAAATTCTGCAGGCCCGCAACGTCTCTCAACAGCCTTGTTTTGGTCTGGGCCATCACATAAGCATCCTTAGTCATGACCAACGGAGCAACCAATTCAGGCCGCAAGAAAGGTAGAACCCCCACCAAAAATTGGGCCCATATGAAGACATGCAAAAGCACACTTCAACGCCGCAAAATTCGAATTTGCACTCAGCTATCTGCGATCAAGCATCTTGAAGGAAAGATATAACTTTGATACCGCCACCTTCTCGGGCTGCCTTGAAGCATGCGCATCTTGCGCTAGGAAAAATTGGCTCTGGCCCAAGAAATCAGGTACCTGTGGGTCCCCAAAAAAGTTTAAATTATTTTTACCATTTGTACTGTGCACATATATACATGTCTATATATATATATGTGTGTGTGTTATATATATGTTATATATTTCCATATATATATATAAATATCATTTATTTATTTATTCATTTATTTATTTATTCCCGAGAGCGTCTGAGCGCAGGGTTCTTCCAATAGTGGGGGTCTGTATCTCATCTTCTCATCTTCACATCTTCTCATCTTCACATCCTCTCATCTTCACATCTTCTCATCTTCACACCTTCCAATCTTCACATCCTTCACATCTTCTCATCCTCACATCTTCTCATCTTCTCATCTTCTCATCTTCACATCTTCTCATCTTCTCATCTTCTCACCTTCACATCTTCTCATCTTCACATCTTCTCATCTTCACATCTGCTCATCTTCACATCTTCACATCTTCACATCTTCACATCTTCTTCTCTTGCCCTCTTGGCCTCTTGCCCTCTTGCCCTCTTCTTCACATCTTCTCATCCTCACATCCTCACATCTTCACATCTTCATCACATCCTCACATCTTCACATCCTCACATCTTCTCCTCTTGCCCTCTTGCCCTCTTGCCCTCTCGCCCTCTTGCCTTCTCCTTCTTTTCTATTTCTCTTCTGAAGGCGGGGGCAGGGGCAGTGCCAACGAGACGGCACGAAACGCAACCCTTTCGCACGAAATGAAGTTCGATCGCCAAAAACTGAGGTAAATTTGCGATTTCAAGGTGTCCGGCGCAACCCTTTCGCACGAAATGAGGTTCGATCGCCAAAAACTGAGGTAAAATTGCGATTTTACTTGTTCTAGCAACCCTTTCGCACGAAATGAGGGTCGATCGTCAAAAACTGTGTTAAAATTGCGATTTTACTTGTGCTGGAGCAACCCTTTTGCACGAAACGAGGTAAAATTGCGATTTGAAGGTGTCCGGCGCAACCCTTTCGCACGAAACGAGGTTCGATCGTCAAAAACTGCGGTAAAATTGCGATTTCCGGGTTCCCGTTGCAACCCTTTCGCACGAAATGAGGGTCGATCGCCAAAAACTGACGTAAAATTGCGATTTTTTCTGTGTGTACAAAGCGTCTGTGTAAAAGCTTCTGTGTGTACAATCTTCTGTGTGTAAAAGCCTCTGTGTGTAAAAGCTTCTGTGTGTAAAATCTTCTGTGTGTAAAAGCCTCTGTGTGTAAAAGCGTCTGTGTGTAAAGCCGTCTGTGTGTAAAAGTTTCTGTTGTCTAAAATCTTCTGTGTGTAAAAGCCTCTGTGTGTAAAAGCGTCTGTGTGTAAAAGTGTTTCTGTGTAAAAGTGTTTGTGTGTAAAACCGTCTGTGTGTAAAAGCGTTTGTGTGTAAAAGCTTCTGTGTGTAAAAGCGTCTGTGTGTAAAAGCTTCTGTGTGTAAAAGCGTCTGTGTGTAAAAGTGTTTGTGTGTAAAAGTGTTTTTGTGTAAAAGTGTCTGTGTGTAAAAGCGTCTATGTGTAAAAGCTTCTGTGTGTAAAAGCTTTTGTGTGTAAAAGCGTCTGCGTGTAAACGCTTCTGTGTGTAAAAGCTCCTGGGTGTAAAAGGGTCTGTGTTAAAAGTGTCTGTGTGTAAAAGCGTCTGTGTGTAAAAGTGTCTGTGTGTAAAAGTGTCTCTGTAAAAGCGCCTGTGTGTAAAAGCTTCTGTCTGTAAAAGCTTCTGTGGGTAAAAGCTTTGTGTGTAAAAGCGTCTGTGTAAAAGCCACTGTGTGTAAAAGCGTCTGTGTGTAAAACTGTCTGTATGTAAAAGCGCCTGTGTGTAAAAGTATCTGTGTGTAAAAGTGCCTTGTGTGTAAAAGCGTCTGTGTGTAAAAGTGTCTGTGTGCAAAAGCGCCTGTCTGTAAAAGCTTCTCTGTGTAAGGGGTTCTCTGTGTAAAAGCTTGCTCTGTGTAAAAGCTTCTGTGTGTAAAAGTGTTTCCGATGCAAACTATTGTCTTGTACTTATGCTATATTGTCTTGATACTCCTCTTCTCGACTGCCTGTAACACATCTTTAATATATTGTTTTGTAATATGGTGTCTCCATACTAACAAGAGAAGGCCCTGCTCCTCTACGCTCTCGGGCCATCCATCTGACGTGTGGGGTTTTTGTTTTTAGTGCTGTATCCGCTCCTTCCGGCTCCTTCTCCTCCTCCCGCCTGTCCTCCCTTACACTCACACTCACTCGCTCACTCACTCACACACACACATCACTCACACTCACACTCACACATACCCCACTCACATCACACACACTTGCTCAGAAACATCTTATCGAATTACTGATGTGGAATGCATCACACGTGCACAAACACTTCAGTTAAACCTGACAGGTGACATTGGGTGACTAGGCGTGAGAAACAGTGAAGAAGAATTCATTCTACGTCCTTGCTAGATGTAACTGTTCCATCTGGCGAAGTCGGCAGTAAATCAGATTGCGAAAACCGTACAGTGGAATGGTTTGAAAATGTTGGAAAACCGACATGCCGGTACTTGGCTTAGCCGGTTGCCATTGACGACAAAATTGAAATAGCAGGTACGTGACTCCAGCGTCCCAGAGTCATATCAGTCATGAATGCAGCCCTCTTCGTTGGGCAATCAGCTGCAAACATGAGATTGCCCCCCTGCTGTGACAATGTTCAAAACCAAAATTCAAGGATCAAAGTTTCAAACCATGGCCAAAGAGTTAGAAGTTTTTCATCTATTCAGATGTTCCACACACACGCCTCGCTGCCGCGAGGCTGTTTTTTGCCAACTGCGAGATCAGAGAACTTGTCGAACTGCTCCGTCTTCTTGACCATGTTGCAACGCACTGAACACATGCCTGTACCAATCCACAGCTCGCAACTTCTCCATGTCTGTCAGCAAATCCTGGCAGGCACGCCAGGCCGCTCCATGCAAGGCATCAAGGAGCTTCTTGGCAAACCTTTTGCGCTTGCGCTTCAGCATGTTCTTTGGCTTCTGTGTCCCCCTCGCCTTCTTCCAGGGTGCAGTGGGCGAACAAGACTCGGCGCCTGCATTCCTTCATCAGATAGGGATGTGCCCACCGTGTGGTGTGGAATGCTAGGGTGGTCCACCACTATCTCGTCATCCTTCCAGAACGGATTGCTGCTGCTAGACATGGCAGCTCCGCTACCAGTGCGAAGCACTGGCAGTGAAGACTTGAAGGCCGGGTAGCGCAATCTGTTTTCCCCGCACAAAACAAAAAAGAGAGGTAATTAATGTGTTAAACATGCAAACTGCTTCTTGGTGTTCTTGGTGATTCATCTGAATCTCTGCTGTTGTTACGCTTCTGGGTTTGTGCTGTGTCATCCAGTGCAGACCGGAGCATCCCTTTCTGCAGGCCGCATTGTGTTTCGGGCGGCGGTAAGGGCCAGCATCAGAGAAAGTTCCTGACAGCTGCATTGATTCGAAAGTACCTGCTCCCGAGAAAAAAACATTTAATGCACATGCTTCGGATAGGACATATGTTAAAGTTAAAGTCACTGGGAATTCTCGCAAATGTGTATGTGTATCTGTGTATGTATGCATTGTATTGTATTGTATTGTCTTGTATTGTATTGTATTGTGTTGTGTTGCGTTGTATTGGATTGGATTGGATTGTATTGTATTGAATTGTATGGTATAAAATTGCATTGTATTGTCTTGTATTATATTTGTACTGTATTGTATTGTATTGTATTGTATTATATTATATTTGTATTGCATCGTATTGTATTGTATTGCATTGTATTGTAATGTATGGATGGATGCATGGATGGACGAATGGACGGACGGACGGACGGATGGACGGACGCACGGACGGATGGATGCATGGATGCATGCATGCATGCATGCATCCATATATGTATGTACTATGTCATGTCATGTCACGCCATATCATATCGTATCGAAGATCGATCATTCCAGGAGGTCGATGATTTTGACTGGTTTTGAACCCCAAAATGGCACAACTTCTTGATGACCTCAGGCTGGTGCCAGGGAATCAGAGACGCTCAACTTGCCATGGCTCAAGATCATGTGCGCCGTCACCGCACCTGACGCTGACAGGAAATGGATCCAAAATGGGGAGATATCCAAATCAAAACATCGAAACAAACCAAAGAGAGCCGGGGATCAAAAAGGATCAAACGGCAAGAACATTTGAGTGAGAATGCCCAGAAGCATCATTCTAACATTCTTTGCCTCCATCCCCTTCAGAAGAAGAATGTCTGATGACAATCTCCTCAGCCGCAAGGTCACTGCCACGACTTAGGTGCGGAAAAAATGAGTTGCAAATCCAAAACCAATTGGCAATCCCCGATGGTGAGTTGAGGCTTTCAACCATTCTCAAGCTCACCTTCATTGCCATTTATTGGGCCATTGGTCAATCCCTTCACCAACACTCAGAGTCATGGCGACTGCGAGGACCTACAGCACCAAGCTTCACCAGGCTCTGCTTGTGCCATTCCACCCGCCAAAGCAAATGCTCCTCTCAAAGAAGTTTGCTCGGCGGAATGATCAATCAAGGCATGTCGGCATGTTCCCATGTGTCGTATCAATTTTGATGAGCTCTGCCAGGCTGTAATGTCTTGCTGAATTGAATTGGGGCTTTCCTAAAGTGATGGTACCGCTAAATCATCCATTTCAATAGGCTTGTCCATGATAAACCATGCATCCTTCCCAATTCCGAGGCAAAAGGTCCAGCAAAATTTGAACCACTCTGCTCCTGCATGGGCTTGAACCAGGTGGTTCATTCTCATTTGCTTTGCCGCACTGTTGGAGACAGAGATGCTTCCACCCTTCTGCACCAGCCCTGAAAATCAGGGCACAGGAAAGCCGAAGGATCCAAAGGCAAACAGAAACTAAAGGCAGCATCAAGGCAGAATCGGGTCTAGCCTCTGGATGAATAGAAAGTGTGTTTTTGGTCGCCCAAAAAAAATTGCCATCTGGCACTAAAACGGTACCCCAGATCAAACAGCTCCGCGGCTTATTTATCCGGGCTTGGCGGCTTGACAGTCTTGTTTTTTTGCCCAGATGAGAAAAGCAGTGCCAAACATTGAGCCGACTTCCTGGTCTTTGGCAACCCATGATGACTTGATGGAGGGCACAAGTGAGCAATCTTCCTGAAACCAAATTCTCAGTCAGGTCACAAGGAGACTGAATGGCACCACCCGATGTGGCTGTGGTATTTGAGATGACAAGTCCTTGGTTGTCGCGGTCGTCACTGCCATGTAATTCTCTCAGATCAAGTGCTCCACTTCAAAATGTTGAACTTACAGTCAGCTACCCTAATTCCCGCAGTTCAAGCTATCATTGGCACCATTGTCCTGACCACATCTGGATGTGTCTGAAAATGTGATCACTCCCACAAAAATGGCATGTACTGGGCAAATTACACACAATAGGTAATTACTCTATTGTCCAATGAAAACCATCTTTGCGGCTAGTAATCCCTCATGTTTTCATTACAAAAAAATGGAAAAGTGGTTCCAGGATGCTATAACTAGATGAGATTTCCCCAAAAAAAATCTAGGTGTCGTATTTTGGGCATCTGGCAATCGCTGACAGGCCACGGCCGCTAACCTGCAGGACCTGCACCCGCACGTGAATGGAGCCGCCACCGTCTTTCGCCTTGGTGTCCTCCGTGAAGAATGGTGGTGTTTATGGGGAGATCATGGGGATATCACTGGCTATGCTGATTTTTGTTGCATAAAAAATTGGGAGATCATGGGGAGTCAATGGCCAGAAAAAATGGAGATGAGTGAGGGGATTTTTTTTTGAAATATAACGGATGATAATTAGAGATATCCGCCGACCCCGGCCGAAGCGATGGGGAGCGCTAGGGAATAAGAGCATTCCACGGCATGGTTTTGAACAGCAATGACCGCCAACAAACAAGGACGACGACGACAACAACCACAACAACAACAAGAAGAACAACAAGAACAAACACAAAAATGCGACAAAAAAATGTGTTACAAGCTGCGGTATAAAAAGAACATCATACTGTGCTCTGCACCTGCGCGCACGCGCCGAGCACATGAACGCTCACACTACTATACACAACGCTTATGGTATCGCCAGTGTGCGAAGCTCTGCAATTCAGCTCCGCCGGCTCCCCACGAGCGGCTTGCCCCACGAGCGTCCCAGAGCGACTAGAGCTCTAGGTGCAGTGCCGAACCGCCGACCCTCCGACCCCGCCCCTAAAAACAGCAGCGAGAGCTGTTTGGATGGAATTCGGGTCGATCATAGACGTCTCCACGAGCATTCCCCCACCTCCCCATTTTGAGGGTACCTAAGATCGGAAAAAAACGCCCTTTTGACACATTTCTCGGACAATTTTTTAGCTTTTCGAAAGCAACAAATTGCTGTAAATTACAACATTTTTGCGTTTTAATGTCTTTTGCGGGAATAATACAAAAACGGAGAAAATCACTGCTAATACCAATGTTTTTTGAAAGCAAAGCAAACAAACACTCTAAATTTACAGCGTTGATTGCAAAAAATGCTGGTGTTTACACGGTTTTTGCAATGTCAAGAAAATGTGGAAGGCGCAAGACACTGCAAAGAGCGGTGTTTTGCCACTTTTGGACGCTGAGACGCTTGTATTTAGACATTTTTTTGCCCGTGGCGGCGCCAAACCCCTGAAAATTACATAATTACAGCATTGCTTTGCACTTTTTGAAACGACTTTTTGTCTTGATGAGTGCAAAAAAAACGCTGGTATTTACGTGTTTTTCAAAAAATCAAAAATCGTGATGTGAACCAAACCTTGTAAAACACAGTATTTTAGCCATGTTCGGGGGCTAAGACTGTGGTATTTACGCGGGTTTTTGCCATCTGACAGCGCAAAATGCTGTAAATTACAGCACTTTGTACGCTGTTTATGTTCAATTTGTAAACGAGCGATGCTTTCACATGTTCTTGGCATTCTTCAACAACCAACAACTTTACAGATTGCAAGTGGACGACAGTGTGGCCCGAAAAAAAACTGGAGGGAGGAGACGCGAAGATAACACACAAGAAAATATGACGATGAATGCTGCTTGTGAGGAGGTTTTACACAGATGCGTTTACACACAGAAGTTTTTCCGCACAGAAGTTTTTACTCACACAGTGGCTTTTAAACAGAGAAGTTTATACACAGAGCGGCTCTCAGACACAGAAGTTTTTACAGAGAAGTCTTTATACAGAGTGGGTTTTTACACGCAGAAGCTTTTGCACAGAGAGAAGCCTTTACACAGAGGAGTCTTTACGCACAGAAGTTTTTACACAGAGGAGTCTTCACACTAAGGAGTTTTTGCACACAAACGCGTTTACACAGAGTAGTTTTTACACACACAGGGGTTTTTACACAGAGAAGTCTTTACACAGAGGGGCTCTTAGACACAGACGCGTTTGCACACAGAAGTCTTTACACAGAGAAGCCTTTACAAAGAGGAGTTTTTACACACAGAAGCTGTTACACACAGAAGTTGTTACACAAAGAAGTCTTTACACAGAGAGCTTTAACACACAGACGCGTTTACACACAGATTTTTTTACACAGAGAAGTCTTTACACAGAGGGGTTTTATACACGGAAGCTTTCACACACAGAGAAATGTTTACACAGAGAGCTTCACACATAGAAGCTTTCACACACACACAGCAGTTTTTACTCAGAGAAGTCTTTGCACAGAGGCGTTTTTCCACGAAGTGAAACGTTGAAATGGGCAGCAAAACCCTTCGCAGGAGCTTTCGGGAACAAACCTTCCCCACTTAGCTCCAAAAAAAACGGTTTCCAACAAAGTTCCAATTCCATGAATATGTTCAAAAACATAGAAAGAATAGTGCTCACTCAATAGCTTTCAAAACCTCCCTGCGATGAAATCGAGGGTCAAGTAATCCGGCAGAGCGGGCGATGAGCGTCAGCTCGAAAATCCGGCGATGCCGTATCAGGTGGTGGCATGCAGCTAGCTGTAGCTAGCCGCATGCCTGCCGCCGACCCCCCTAATTTTTTTCAGGTTTTCAAGTTTATGGGGGTCTGGGGTGGGAAAAAAAGACGATAAAATGTTGTTCTTTTGGAGGTCATTTTGGGCACTGTTTGGCGGACTTTTGCTCTTTCTGGATGCGTGCCAAGAGCCAAAACACTGTAATGTACAGCGTGTTTGTGCCTTTGGCATGGAAGAAGAACTTCTTGCAACATGCTGACAACTGCGTAAATACCAATGTTTTTGCTTGTCACTAGCCAAAAAAACACTATAAATACCGTGAAATTTGCTACCAGAAGCCAAAAAACATCGTAAATACCATGGTGTTGAGCTTCTGGGGCGCAAAAACCCTAAGTATTTAGAGCGTTTTTAGCTCCAAGAGTCTCAAAAAAACGCGAAACTCCACCTATTTTTGGTTACTGCGAGACTGAAAAAGCTGCAGGGGTAACAACAACAACAACAACACCAACACCAACACCAACAACAACAACAACAACAAGAAGAAGAAGAAGAATCACAAAAATGCGACGAAAAGATGTGCGGTATAAATAGAACATCATACTGTGCTCTGCACTTGCACGCATGCGCCGAGCAAATGAACAACACCAACGCTCACACTACTATACATAACCCTTATGGCATCGCCGGTGTGCAAAGCTCTACAATAATGAGTGAGTGAGTGATAGTGGATCGTCATGATTTGGAATTTAATGGGATGATGATGATGATGACGACGGTGATGATAACAATGATCGTGATGAAAATGATTAAAATGATTAAAATAGTCAAAGTTGTAAAATGATTTTAAAAATGATAAAAACCATAAAAACGATGAAAATTGTTTTCAATGATTAAAATCATTTAAAATGAATAAAATTGGTAAAAATGATTAAAATGATTAAAATGCTTAAAATGGTTCAAATGATTTCAAATGATAAAAATTATTAAAACGATAAAAATGATTTAAAAAAATTAAAATATTACAAAAATGATAATGAAATGAAAAAAAATAGCCTCCTGTCATCAAACACGGCGGGCCGCTGGGAAATCCACAAACTAGCTATGGGGGGGTTCTGGCTAGGAAAATCAGCGAACTAAATGGGTGATTTTCCAGCAAGCCATGTTTGATGACACTGCATTGTAAAATGAGGGTGGAGAAACTCGCTTTCCCCTCTTATCAATGAGCGTATCCCACCCATTTTTGAACCCCATTTTTTTCAGAAAGACGGCCCATGGGACTGCAGTTTTCCCATGGTTTTAGATGATATTTTGAGATGTTTTACTGCACTCCCAAAGGCACTTTGACAGCTTTTCCTGTGATTCATGCCAGTTTCCTTGAAGTACCCCACACTTGGTAAAAACCTTGGAGAAACAAATATATATATATATATATTTATTTATTCATTTAGTTGTTTATTTTATTTATTTATTTCTATTTTTTCTAGACTCTTTGGAAGGGGGGGGCCAGCCAAGACTCTCTGAAAAGAGGTAAAAACCTTTGGAAAAACAAATAAAAAAAACAATATGTCTAGACTCTTTGGGAGGGGGGGGTCCCAGCCAAGACTCTCTGATTTTTTTGTTATTTTTTTTTGTGTGTCCAAGGTTTTTTTTCTGTTTTGGTCACTTTCAGCCATCTGCACCTTTTTGTACACTGGCCGTTCGGTGTCTTCAAGCGTTCAAGCTTGCAGGAACCAATCTTTTAACCACTGCAGCTATGAACATACTGGGTCTGAGGATCAAGACTGTGTGTTCCAATTTTGAAGTGTTCGGCCATGTCCTAGATAATAACCTTAGTTTCATGCTATACTTTTTTTGAAAAACATGTTGCATAAATTGGTGGCACACTTTGCTGAAGTAGTACGACCATTGGAATCTGCTGTAGCTTTCTTGGAGGGATGCTACAAAGATTTGCCAAGAAACTATTCACTTTCACAACTACATATACACACACACATATATATATATAAATATATACATATATATATTACAAGGGCCCAGGTTTGTGAAGCCTGTTTCCTGCAAAACAACGGTCTTTTTTTTGGAACTGCTTGATTGCGCTTTTGCTGCGGCTCGCTGCGCAGCAATGCACACAGCCTCAGTCAAGCACCTATGGTGGCCATGCATGTGAGGAGGATGTTAAATTTCATGGCGAGGTACCTGAATCGATGAATGTTTGGGTATGTCTTTTGTTGTAGGCACAACCCTAGGAGCCACTTGAAAGAATCTTCATAGAGCTTCTCAGTGCAAGTGACAACAAACACCGATTCAAGCCCATTCGCTCCCATTTGTATGCTGGGCCGGGTCTTGCCTGCTCTGTTTGTTGCCAGCCTTATTATGGGTTGAACGACTGGATGCCTCGAAGGTACCGGACACCGCAGCCAACGGGACATGATCAATTCATGTTTTCACGCACAGTGGCCCTGACCCGGGCCATGTGGTGAAGAACCGCTCTATCATAGGCATCACACCCACGTGTGGGCCAAGCAAGACGATTTTGCAATTCATCTTCAGGGACCTCAGGGCGGCCGGAAGACAACTGTTCGGCGGAGCAATGCCAGGAGAGATGTTCCCAGACAGGTGGGATTTGCTCACCGCAAAAGGGACATTGTTCCCTCACTTCGTGTCCACGCATCTTATCATAACATGCCGTGGAATGCGCAGAACCAAGCATTACGGCCCTCTGATGACTATCACACGTGAGAGAGAACAACTTGCGGGCATCGGAAACACGACTTTCCTCATACGGCACATCAAGCAAATAATGCCTATCACGGCGGTTCTGCTTTTTCCAAAGGGCAAATTGCACTCGGCGCCAACTTTCTCTCACCTTGTGCTCGGTGAGTTTCACAACAGCTTCATCTGGATTGGATAAATCGACATGACCCAAATCCTCATGTGCAAACATCCATGGACCGCGAAATTCCCAGTTCAGCTCTCGCATGCGTGCGCAAATGAAACTCTGCCAGCCTCCAGGTCGTGGCATCCTTCGCCAAGGGGCACGAACTTGGCGCATGGTCCGAATGGAAGACATGGTGGCCCAAAACTCAGCATGATACATATGACCTACAAGCAGGTTGAAAAGAGGTCTCGAAGCGTTACCTTGCAGATAGGAAATGGCATGCCATGCCTTTCGAAGCGAAGGCAACTGTGACTGCGGCAATCGTTCAAACCAAGCGCCCCAGGTGGCGAGTGAAATGATTCTGGACCTGTACAAAGACATCCTGATATCGCGGGCAACCGGCAATTTCTGCAAACGGTGAGCGGCAAACACTGCTTCTTGCAAACGGTTTTCAAGAACAGGGGAAACAATAAGGTCACTTTCCTTAAAGTCAATACCTAAGACCCGAGTGGCCGGTCGGAGATACTCACCAAACCCTGCGTCATTGATCTCTTGCTTTTGTTGCGCAGTGCAGGCAACTAAACGCATTTTTTGAACGTTTTCATGGAGACCCAAAGTGGCACTCCAGCTGCGCCATCTATGGATGCCAGCAATTAAACGTGGAACATTAGGCGCGCTCAAAGCGCGATCATCAACGTATGCAACCTGACGCAAGTCTGGAATGGAAGACACATCATGAAGGGGCCTAATGAGCAACATGATAAGAGCCAGAGGTGCAAAGGCATCACCTTGCGGCATGGAGGTCTGGACATGCTCCGGCGTTGGGTGCACAGCTTTCCCCAAGCACAGCCATCGCACTTGATGACCCCATACAAACATCAAAATGTTAGCCCACTCATCTGGCAACCCTTGCAGTTGCATGTTTTCAATGGCCAAACCTGGGTGGACAAAATCAAAACATTTGGAGAAATCTAAAGAAGCAAGAACTTCCTGGTTTTCAAACGCTTCATTGAGTTGCCTCCATGCCGTGGCAACCCCCCGGGATTTCAAGCCTCCATGGCACTGCTCGGGGACCCGAGACGCAATCCATTCCTGAACCTGTGGGGTCCTCACATAAGATGAGGAGACCAACCGAAGAAAAATGCTTTCAACTGCAATAGGCCGCAAAGACCCTACAGTCCCACCGTCATCCTTTCTTAAATGAACCTGACGAACCTGCAGCCATGCCTGTGGGAATTGTTTTAACTGAGACCAATGCAAAACCAAATCACGGTAGTGATCCCAAGCAACAAGCGGGAAATGGCAAACTTCGCTGCCGGACCACCGTCACATCCGGCTGCAGACCCCGAGGCTCTGAGAGCGGCCTGATGGATGAGGGCAGCATCTGGCATCCAATCAGTTTGGGGTCCAGCCAGGGCTTCCATTGTTCTAAATTCCGGGGGTAAGTGTGGAACGAGGTCATCACGTTTCCAAATACGCTGCCAAAAAGAACGAATACAATCAAGGGTTTGCGTGATCGTGGCGCAAGAATCTTCGGAAACAGAGCGTGGTGTTGGAGGTTTGTGAGGCTTCATCCACCGGGTCACCTCTTTGCCCCCCTGGCGCATTCTGGTACGCCACTCGGTCAGCCTTTGGTTCTTGGACTTCCTGTTTTCAAGCGCAATGCGTTGTTCAAACACTTCAATAGCGTGGTTCCAAGACCCCCAAAGCTCATTGTATTCAGACGGCCAAGTCGACCATAATTTTTGCAAAAGCTTTTTGTCTCCCTGGGACTTGGCTAACTGTCGCTTCACTTCATAGAGACGACCAAGCACATTAACAAGTTTTCTGGCAGGGAACGTATTCACCTGGGGGCGTTCAGCCTTGATCACACGAGGCAAATTCCCGCGCGCATGGCCTGGCCTAGGCACGGGCTGGCCACACAAGTGCAATGCTTCACGCATGCTCTTTTCAGCAAACTGGTGAAAATATTCCCAATCTTGGTCGGGATCCTGAGAAAAACATGGCACGTAAGCGGCCCATTGTTCTGCAAGCACGGCCCGCCATTGCTCAACAGGCACTTCCGGAGGACATTCATAGTTAGGCCGCCAAGCGAACCTCCACGTATCAGTCTGGAAAATGGGCAAGCGCAATCTAAGCCAAAACATCTTGTGATCAGAAATCTTACATTCACTGTAACGCGGGCAATCAGCAAAACCGTACCCGCCGCTGAGAATTCCGTAATCAAGACATCTTTTACCTTCGAACCGGCTAGGCACCCATTGATCAGGATCCGTGACAGCCAGAACACTGCCATTCAAGAAAATGGATGCGGCGTTGTCATCAGGAGTTTCGTTCCAATCACCTACCCAAAGTGCAGGTATCTGCCTGCGTTGTGCTTCTTCAGTGACCGTAGCAACATATTCCAAAAATTGCAAACCATCAAGTTGGCTTGGCCGGCGCCAAACTGAGGAAAGTAGGCACGATTGAAGATCCAAAGTCATGACATACCCTTCATCGCAAGCCAGTGTGTCCCAGATGCCTCCTCTGAGATGCTCTCGCAATGCAACCAAAAGACCACCTCGGTAAAATTCACGTTTAAGTGTGCGAATAGGTTTGGCCGGAATGGTCCAACACTTGTACCCAAGTTTCTGAAGCCTTTCAACATACTGGGAGCCTTGACGAGGCTCGAAGTCAGGCTCTTGAAGACATAAAACAGAAGGCAAATTACCCTCATCCTGAAGCAAGTTTAGGCCCCTCCAAGCATTGCACGATCCACGGCAATTCCACGAGAGAATCCAGTGGTCAGGATGGCCTGGGCCTGGATGGGGGTGTATATTCTCAGCAGTCAAATCGCGTTTCCATGACTTAGGCGGCCACTTCTTGCGCGACTTTTTCTTGGCGCTAGCCCAAGCATCATCAAGCTTCCTACGCTCAGTAGCACTCAAACGCCAAGCCTTGTGCAGCGCCTCTTGGCGCTCTTTGGGAGCCTGACGCCAGCATTTTTGGCGACCAGGCATGGCTAACCACTCGGCACGAGCAGTCCGCCCGCCACAAGGACCTGCAGCTCTCACGGACTTCTCAGTTTTCCAGTAACCAGCACAAATGGAACAAGCATGCTGAGCCATGAAGAAAATAACTTTTTTCGACCCACCAGCCAATTTTTTCGTTCCAGTAGTACGTCTCTGCACTTGGGATAGGGAGTGTCCTTGCTCCTTGGCAAACTTGTTGAGTTGCACATACATCTGGCGATGCTTCAGCTTCCAAGGCAAAATGCTTCTGTGAGGTACATCAGATGACACGCTTGCTCTCTTGCAAAGGCGAAGAATGGAGTCGCCTCTGGTGGCCCCTTTTGGGGCCTTGGCGCAGGAGCGCAAATGAGCAACGATTGATGCTTTCTGATGTGTCTTAGGCAAAATGGGGAGGGTGCCCATGCAAAAACCACAAGTCCAAGAAACAGCAGCATGAGTGGGCCCATACGATACGGCAGTAACCGGAGCCCTGTACTGATCAACAGCCTTTTTAAAATTGGTGGTTGGGGTACCACGATGCGTACGCCTAATGTGATCCGTACGTCTTTTTGAAACGATGCATGCTTTGTCAGTGAAAGAGACGTTGCAAATGTGACATGTCCACGTGATTTCCCGGTCGCGCCCAGTGGCAACAGACGCAGAAGCTGATGCGGCAGATGGGTTGGAACCACATGGCTCGGCTTCTGATTGCTCGGTCTTTTGACGGCTCGGTTTGGCCGTTGATGCAAAATCAGTCAGACATGCACTCCGTTTGGCAGGGGTGCTCCGGGCAAAATCGGTCAACCTTGGGCTTGGCCTGCTGGATTTGGGAGTTGCAAATTGTGAAAGGCAAATAGAGGCATTGTCGGCAGCCAAGCGTGCCTTCTTTGCGGCCCCGCGGTAACCCTTGGTGCCACCGTCTTCAGCATTCTGCCACAGGGCCTGAATATCTGCGTCTGAAGGAACAATAAGCTCATAATGTTCATCCTTGTACCAGAGACAGACAACATCCTTATCGCCATGACTATTAAAAGCATGGACAACATTGTCCTTGGCATGCACAACAAGTACAGGTCGGCGCATGGCTTCGCCATATGCTTCGATTTCACAATATCCCGCCCAAGCTTTATCTTTTTCAAGGGCTTGTAAATAATCGTCAAACCCACCCTCCATGGGAATGTTGCTCGGGCTTAAACCGTCCCAGAAATCCTCGTATTTCTTGAAGTGTTTGGTCATGTAGGCAACAACAAATGCACGCACCTGCCTGTGGCTGCGGGACTTACCTGGGGTAGACTCCGCCTGAGCTAGACAGTAAAACAAGCAATTCCCTTCCCCAGGGTTCGGAACTTTTTGAAGCCTCTCGGGCACTTTCATCCTCTTTTTGTCATGACCAGTTTTTTGCGGGCTGGTCAACATGGCCTGGTCTTTGCATTTGGTGCCCTGGACATGCATGGGCTCATCCTCAACATCACTTGCATCTGGGACGCTAATCAGACTGACATCCATAGCTTCGTTACCGCGATCATCCTTGGAGGGTAATGGAGGTGGACTACTTTTCGGTAAGGCAAGCGTGGTTGCAAAGTCAGGCACTTCAAGCTTGGATTTGTACTTGCCTTTTCCTTTGCCTTTACCCTTACCTTTTTTGTGAAATGCATCTAGTGAAAAGAGCACATCATTTTCTGCTTTCAACGGCTGGACATTTCCTGGCGCACGTCGTTTGGACTGCTTAACTAAAAACAGATCTAATGGTGGCTCATTGCACGTCTCGTCCGCATCATAATGGATTTGCATTTGATCACGGTCATCATTTCTCATGCCTTTGAAAACCCAAGCAGTGCCACCACGACGGCGTTGCTTTGCTAAAATATCAATTTCAGAGAAACCTGCTTCAACCAGAGTTTCTTCCACATTTTCAAAATCCCAACCAAACGGCACTGTCTCAACCCGCCAAACACTAGAAGTGGGTTTGAGCCGCTCATCGTCTGGTTTGACCCTGAGAGCCAGCTGTACACGACCCCTAGCCATGCCAAAAGGACCCGAATCATGAGCTACGCGACGAGCAAATGCAATTTGTTGTTCATTTTCCAGTTTGTCCACCCAAAGCATGCGTGGAGGTGTTTCTGCGAGGCCATCCCATCTGGCAGGATCAAGAAACCAAACCTGACCTTTGTGTTCTGAGCCGCTCGCTTTAATCAACTGCAGGGCCCTGTCTTTGCCTTTGACGCGAGCAAATCCTCGAACCAGGTTTTCAGCCTCGAGTTTTTGGAATCCCCACGTGTCACCAAGGTGAAGCAGAAGATCCCTAGCGTTTGGGCCTAAATCAGACAGCCACAAACGAAAAAATTTCCCAGGTCCCTGTGTGATATGATGGCGATTGTCACTGGCAATAAATCGCATGTCACAACTAATTCGAAAAACAAAAGACTCTTCATGGCCGTGTTTCTGGACAACAGGCCGCCTGGCGCCTGTCAGCACGGATCCTGGAACCAATGTGGGTGCATTTGGCGAGCACCGCGCAATCCAAACCAAGCGCTGGACCAATTTATCATCGGCATAACCAGCTGCACGTGTGTTCAAGGCTGTCCAACCATGATATCTCAATTTGCCAAGTTCTGGAGACATGTTAGGTGCAGCTTCAAGAACAACCGTGACATTGGTGCGACCAGCAGCATGAGAAATTTGGAGGGCTTCATTCCAATCATCCAGATTTTGTACTTGACACAGGAGAGCACCGGTGTCCCCACTGTCAAGAGCGTTGCACAGAGCTGTGGGGCCACGCAAAACAGTTTTGACGCCCCAGTCCTGGGCACGGGCTTTCCAGGATCTGTCGCGTTGCCATCGTGTTTTTGGCTTAGGAGCACCATCTACCAAATTTTCTGAACTTTTGAATCGTGTGCTTGGTTTCACTGGCGGGACCGCCTCATGCGGCGGCAGATCTTTCTTTCTCTTGTTTGGTCGCAACATACCACGTTCAGTAACTTGAACCAATGTTTTCAACCTTTGGGGCAACCCTTGTGGTTTCTTTGCGGCTCGGGCAGTTAGCTTTTGCAAGGCTTGAATCAGCCCATAGCTGCCATCATGGTTCGCATCTCTCTGTTTGGAAGGTAGGCTTTTACCACTACTTTTGCCGGAGCCCTTACCCTTGCCTTTTTTGTTTGAGGCTCCGGAGCTAGAGGCCTGCAAAGTATCTTTCAACAAAATCTGCAAACCTTGCAGCAGTTTCTGTTCCGGTGTCTCTGGACTGTTTCTACGACCTCCCCCGCGGAAGGAAGATCTGGGCGGGGAGGCTTGCGAATGCTCAGGCATGTTTTGACAGAATGGGCAAAACTGCGCACGTACGCAAAAGGACAGGAAACGGCCTACCCTATTAAACAAACTGACTCTTGGCTTTCGGATGCACTTACGATGCAATCGGCAGCGCTTTCGGCCAACTCTTCTGCACTTGAAGACTTTCTTTGGCCTTGCATTCAAATGGTGAAGTGACAGCATTATCCTGAAAACAGCTAATGTCACCAAATCGATGATGTCAACCCCTAAACCAATCAAAAGCAGATTCACAAAAGAAGGTTCAGTCAACAGCTTTCGGAAAAAGAAAGCGATGACCATGATCTTGCATGCCAGATGACAGAACCACAGCAGCGCTTTCTGTGCATTCCATGTGAGGAACCGATGCATTGAAAACAACATTCGCATGAGCATGATGCCAAGGAGTGCTATTCCACAACCTACTATTCTCTTCTTTCCGCACATCAGGACAAGGACCTTGTAGGCCCCGGCGAAAACGAAAGAGAGGCTGGTCGGATTGGACAAACAAGTATGCAAGCAAAATACGAGCGCGGCATTTCGCAAAAAGTGCTTCTGCATGTATGCAACAGAAGCATCATGTCTGGTTTGGAAACTCCAAATGACGGCTTGTCTGAAACATCGCACACAAATTAAACTGAGGCCTAAACAAACAAGATCGGCACCTGTGAATTGAAACTGCTGGCACCACTGTGACACTGCAGAGACAACCTCAGCAATCTGAGGCCTTTGCGTGACATGGCAAAGAGATCGGTTGCAGAAAACCAACCCAGAAATCATCATTGTAAAAACGCTCCCCCATGAAACAAGCTTGCATGTCCTAGTGGAGCAAAATTGCCAAAGGGTCACGAAATAATAAGACATCATCGCCACAGCTGACAGCAAACCATGATTCCAAGTTGGTTTGAAATCCGTGTCAACCATCTGCGCAACGCAATTCACCGGTATTTTGAATCCAGGAGTTGCCTGAAAACCATCCACGGTGTGTCCAGAAACACACGAAGCATGAGTCTGCAAAATCATGGCTTTGACGTGGAAGAATACAAAAGCAGCAAAGGAGCCCCAAAGGTCCCACAAATGCATCCAAGCAGTGGACCACATAGCCACGAAGCGCTGATAGAACTTGAAGCTCCACGGTGACTCAAGCCAGCAAAAACAAGCACAACCTGTAAAAATCACCATAATCTTCAAGAGAGGCCACCACACTTTTCTCCCACACACAGTTTTCCTCACCAAGTTCACGATGTGGAAAATCCGGCTCCAACTTTGCATCATCCATTCAATCTTACCGGCTTTACTGCACAAACGTCTTGAAACCGCAGCCATACCCATACACACACCAGAAAAGATTGCAAGGACGTCAAAATTCAAATTCAATGCAACGAATTGATAACTCACGAAGTAGCTAGCACAAAAAAAAGGGACAGTGAGTAAGATGCAATACACCCGGCATTGCACAAACCATTGTCCATCGTCATCTCTGTTCATCTCACCTCCGCAGCACAGGGCCAGCACCGCCAGCATGGCTTTGAACAAGCCCGCCATGGCTTTAAAAGTGCGCCCGAAATGCCTATTTGCTTGGCTACAAACCTTGAGCCAAAATGGCTTGAGCCAAAATGGCTTGAGCCAGATTCGTCTTCCGACTTCCAGCTCTTCGGAAAAACCGTGGCATCAACAACGATAGATCTACAGGGCTGTTGTCATCCTACAACAAACAAAATAACACAACAAAAACAGAACAAACACACACTAGATAAGAATGGATCATTGTAGTGATCCGGCAGGAACTGAATCCTGTAACATGCAAATTAGATGAGAAACAAATTAAAGCAGGTACGTCGATGAGCGTCCCCATCGATATCACAGATGACACACTGGCGTCTTCGTTGAGCTCGTCTGCCAACAAGGCCAACGCTGCGTGCAACTGCTTATTTTTGAAAACGTCTGCAGAGCAATTAAGTAAATGTTGTGAGGGGAAAAAGCTATGCCCACAGAACGACGATTGCGTCGATAAGGAAGTTATTGCCTTTTCTGATACCTGTCACTTTGGTAAGTTTAAAAATGCAGAAAAAACATGCACAACGCAATAACTCTTCTTCTGGCAACCAAAATCAAGCAAAAAAACTTGGACCCTTCACCCCCCCCAGTAGTCCCCATTGGTCCCTTATAATCCTCCTGCTGGCTTCTCCGCAGTGTGTCGTTGCGTTTAGGAGTCTTTTTTTTTGTCCGAGCCCATTGCCTTTCGGCGGGTCTACGGCCTTGAGTCTTACTCGCGGACCAGCGGGGAATCGAACCACCACCGGCAGTCTGTCAGCGACGTCAAGAACGCCGTGATACCAACTGAGCCACGAGGACGACTGTGTCGTTGCGTTTAGGAGTCCTCTGTTTTTGTCAGGTTCGTTTTTCGCCGTGTAGGTTGGTTCCGGAGGTCCGTCCGTTCCCTTCCCCCTTGCGTTGTTTTTAACCGTCGGCCCATTGTATCTCCGCTTTTTTCTTCCTCTTGCCTTTCAGGGTTTCGCCTGCCCGGTCTGTGTGTGTGTGTATGTGTGTGTGTAGATAGATGACAAAACTTGCTTCTTTTTTCTCGCCTCTTCTCTCTTTTTAGGGATGCACACTGGACTGGCAGACGAGCTCAAAGATTGAAGGAGATTGAACGAGCAGCGGAACACTTTGCGCCAGGCATGTTTTGCAACGTTCAAATTTCCCAAGATCAGAGCACCCAGTTGGCGGTGAGGCCATGAAGAAAAACACGGGTGTGAAAATTCTGTTGGTGACCAGGTGTGGAACTGAAACGCAATAACTATTCTTCTGATGACAAAATCAAGCAAAAAACTGAGACTCTTAGTCAAGATTTGCTTTGAGGCCTCCAACTTTGTTTCATCCTTTTTTTTGGGTTTGCTGCAATTTCAAACCTTGAAGGCTCGAGGCTTGCTTTGGAGGCCGTGCAGCTTAAAATTTTAGCGAGGCAGCACAGGCACCAACTGCTTCAAAGTTCAGCCTTGCTGGGACTTCAACAACAGTATTATATGGTTTCGAGTCTCCATGAGCCTCTCTTTGTCCTTGTGCCAATACATTTCTCGCCGAGCCTCGAAGCGCCTCGATTGCATGCTTTGGAAACACGCGACCTGCATCAACATAATAGAAAGAAAAAGGTTGTCATAATCAAGATAAGAAGGTACAAGAGGCTAGTTTTGGGGTTCGTTTTTTTGCACCTGAAAACTGATATGATTTTGGGAGACGGAGTAGGAGCCTCCCTTGTGATGCGGCGCGGAACAGTGCGAAACATTGCGAAATACAATGCAACACACAGTGCAACACACCATGCAACGTTGCAATTTTGCAGTTATTTTTTTTTCGGAGACTAAGGCTGTCCCATGAAAAGTACCAAGATTTTTCTTGCCCGCAAGCACGAAACGTCGTAAATTACACGGCGCGTTGCACTGGAACTACAGTACGCAAGGGCAGTTGCAAGTCTGCAACCGGAGGTTTTTGAACATTGCTCGTCCCAGAAGTGACAAGTTCTGTGCATTGTTTTTTTCCTCGAGTTTGGCCGATGTCGCGCTAAGGCTCGGTCCTTACATGAGCATAAGCTGTCGAAAAGACGTTTGTACAAGGACACAGTTGGTCCATATGAGAAGGCAAATCTAAGTTGAATAACCAAAAAACACACAAGACCACCAAACCACGACGACCCGCAAATCCCCCAGCCAGACTTGCGTTTCGCCAGAGGAAACAGCAAAACAGCCAGAAAAACAAACCACACACACAAAAGGGGCCGGAGCCCGAACAAAACACCCACAAAATCGATTTGCCAAGGGACACAGTGGTTTGACCACCGCATCACTCTCAAAAACATGCGAACAAAATGAATTAAGCACCACGACGTTCAAGCAAACATGAAAGCCTAGCCAGCTTGCCTGTCTACTCAGGCATAGATGTGCCAAAACTGTACATGAACACGGGGCTACAACTTATGCCTCTCTCAGCGTCCTCTCAGATCAGCTTGTCCAGAAGGCCTCCATGGACAGAGTCGTCACCATATATCAACCGTGAGCAGGAAAGCCGTGGTGGTCACAGTGCCAGGTACCCCCCCCAAACAGGGGGGGCGGACGATGATGGCGCACGGGAAGCTTCGCAGGCCAGCGAAAGAACTTCCAAACTGCCATCGCAAATGTAGTGCAGACCCCTAATTTCATAGGGGAGGAATGCAAACCTGCAAAATGATTGATCTCAGCTAGCGAAGCTCCTAGGCAATACTCGCAAAGATGAGGAACATGCAATAAAATTGTCGTTGTGCAGACACTATGAAGCCAAACAAGGCGGTGCCTCCACACTCGGACAGCAAAAGGAAGCCGAAATTTGGCAGGACTGTACACGCTAGTTCCGCCATACCAGTGATATCTTCGGCAGCGTTGCTCTCATTGTTGCAGGTTCGTGAACATGCAAACCACAGAACTGTTCAAGACATTTCAGGGTGTCATCGTCCCTGAAAGACCTGCAGTGCTTTGCAGTATGCACATAGTAGAAGATTGTAGTGGATCCAAATCCGTAACGCTATTCACCCACAGAATATGCAGGCTTCAGAATCACCACATTCCGTCCACCAACTGACGAACCATGTAGGCAGTCTTGTGCTGCTCGCGGGCGCCCTAGGCTGTCCTACAGGGAGCACCACTGGATTGCTCCAGTGAGACTCACTGCAGCACAGTCTAGTCCATGGCTTCGGCCGGCTACCTACCGCCCCTCTCGGATAGACACGACCAACCATGCAGAGCCACCGGACAACAGGACACCCCGAAAAGACTCCAAAAAGACGAACGAATTCCAAATCAAATCAACGAATTACCCTTCCGCAGGAGGATAGATCACAAAAAGAGGGGCAAAGCGAAAAACGGGCCCTGGGGGGCGCCTAAACAAATTTTCCGTCCTTAGTTACCCTAGTGAAGACTGCTATGTCAGTGCCTCTCAAACCAAAAACCTAGGTCAGCAACAAAGCAAACAAAACAGATCGACAAACTCTCGCAATCCAATCTAAGCTCCAGACGCCCCGCGCCTAAGTGAAGGCAGGGGAGAGTACCACAAACATCGGAGGGCACATCAAAACCAACACAACGCGAAAAAACACAACAAGAGCAAAAACCAACCAGACCGGACAAACAACACGAAACCAAAAGGGGGGGGTGCCGGGATGGCAAAGGAGGACAGGGGCGGAGAAGGCCGCACCTACGGCATTAGAATAGCGATAGTGCAGCTTAGCGGAGACCAATGGGGGGACCTGGATCATCATCCTGATGAATACCTCAGTGTGGTCAAACTGAGCATCCTAACAGCACATGCAACATGGTGGAGAGGGTGATACAAACCCCACACAGGGCCAGAAGCCTTTGCTGCCATGAGACAAAATGAAGTAAGGACGACAAAGCACAACCACACTCCCAACAGTAAAGCAGGGCAACCAAGCCGTCACAAACGCAACCAGATACCCAGAGGGAGGGACCAGCGTACAAACTGGGCCAGGGCGCCACATGGGACCAACCGCGGGGGGAAGGGAAGCAACATCTGGCAGGGAGGGGAGCCGACAACAGCCAAAAAACAAGACAGAAACAACGGGGCCCAACCAAACACGGAGAGGAGCGCAACAGAGACAGAGAGGCACCAAAAAACACACAGGCAGAAGCACCAGACTGACAACACCAAGAGCCCAGAAAGGCAAAGCCCGAAAGGGATCGAAAAGTCAAACAACGGACAAAGGACGGCAGAGAGAGCATGACCCAAGTCGGACCGCACAAGAAAAGTACATGCAAAAAAGGGGGGCCACGAGAGGTAGAACCCCACGTAAGCACGCAAAAGGGCCCCCACAACATAGCAGCAAGTGGGAGCAAAATATGCTGGGGCGCCCAAAGAAGGAGGGCAAAGAAACAAAGGCAAACGACCTGAAAAAGTGGGAGGGGGAGGAGGAAGAGGAAGATCGCTACGTCTGACTCCGAGTAGTATATTCAAGGTAGTGCTGTTTGTCTGCCCGGAGAGTGTCATTCTAGCTATTCCCAATCGCAAAGGAGACAGGGTTAGCCCTTTCTGCCTCTGCGGCAAGTAGCCGTAGCTCATTGCATTTGGCCTGAAAGGCAACCCGGTCAGTATCTGGTGCTTTCCTACGTAGTTTTCTATCAGGGAAGACCCGCTCTTGCACATGTTGCCTAAGAATCGTTTCTGGCACATAGTGGGCTGGTCGTTGGAAGAGCACTCTACTCGCCAACTTCGCACGGTTGACTTCCCAATGAGTAAACATATGACGATGCTGTATTTGCTGCTTAAGTTGTGCAGCGTACTGGTGGAAACTTTTGGTCGTGTGCCACAACCTAAGGAGGCTATAGTTGGACGGCCACTCAAGTGGGCACAGAGTGGCTGTCTGCTTCCACATTGCTGGAGTAAGTCCTTTTGGGGACGGAACAATGACTTCCAAGTTGACCCTCGTAGGTCCAGTGGGTTGCAGGCCCATCATGATGTAGGGTTCCACTGCACCCATTGTGTACCCGCGGATGAGTTCC